CCCCCCTAAAACCCCCCTCCTTTCCAACTAAAGAAAGAATGAGAAACAGAAAAGTGTAGTTGAGACTTTGGTTGATACCCCTGAAAAAGAAACAGAGTAGCATTTTTTAATAGCATGGTTAATGAAGAGCTTATTCTTTTCCCTATAATACAATTTAGCCTCTAAAAATTATTTGTCATTATTTTCATCTCAGAAGCATGATTATAGAAACAAATTAAAGCACCAGAATTCAGATTGCACATCTCAAAATACACCCTTTAGTCTCTTCTTCACTCTTTTATTAAGTATCCCAAAAGAAGGGCAGCCCGGTGCCAGGGGCGGATTTAGGGGTGGGTCGCCGAAAAATCACATTGTACATATAAGGCAAAATTCATTTTGTGTCTTTATATATCATAATTTGAATCCGCTTGACACAGCCGAAAAGTATAGCTTAGTGGCCAAGGGGGTTTAAAATCTTTGTGAGATTGCTGGTTTTATACCCATTGGGCACAGTCTCTTTTATGTTTTTAACTGGGGAAATTCTGCCTCCTCCACTGCCAAGTGTACAAGGCATCCCGCATTCATGCAGGGTCCGAGGAAGGGCCGCACCTCAAGGGGTGTGATGTAGATAGCCTACCCTATTGCAAGCATTAATGACTGCTTTTACGGCTCGAACACGTCACACGAAAAGAAACTTCACTATTTTTCGAAGGATCCCTTCCCTTTCATTAAACATCCTACAAGATCAATAATATATCCTGATATCACAGATATCAAAAAGAGACACACTTTAAATCAATGTTCAATTCACAAGAACATAATAAGGTCGATCATAAACATCTAAGTTAAAAAATGGTGTCAAAAAAGAAGAGTAAAAGAATCACCATTGATCTTGCTGGAGCACGCCAAACCTTATTTTCCTCTCCAAGAAACTGTGGTTGGTGTCCACCTGGCATTCCCCTATTACCTGACCCTCCACCTTTGAAAAGTTTACTCAGCCATTTCATAAACCTTGACTTTCTCTCAGCAGTTGAAGAAATTAAGTCACCTGCTTAAAACCCCACCAAAAAAAAAGTCCAACTTTTTACATATCTAAACCAATAGCTTCGTGAAAAATACTCAAAAGGATACTATTTCAATTGCATAATAAACCCCACAAAATAATTAACCAAAAAACCAACTTTTTTTACATAACTAAGCTAAGCTTCATACTAAATACTCAAGAGAGTATTATGACAATTGCTTAAACCCCACAAAAAGATCAATCAAAAAAGCCAACTTCTTTACATAACTAAATCAATTCTCATGAAAATACCCAAAAGGGTACAATTTAAACTGCAAAAAGATTCAGTCTTTGAAGTCATTAAAACATTACCATATGCCCAATAACAAAACCAAACTTCAGTAAAAAAATACTCAAAAGGGTACTATTACAACTGCAAAAAGAAGTCAGTATGTACAGAAGAAGAAGAAGAAGAAGAAGAAGAAGGAGAAAAAGAAGATTTTTCAAGGTAAGAGTACAGTCTCTACGTACACACTACCCTCTCCAGGCCCTAATTGTGGAATTCCACTGGATTTATTGTTGCTGTTGTTCCAAGAAGTGAAAAAGCTGGGCTAAAAATGAACTTGAACGTACAAAAATATCAACCAAAAAAAGCTAAAAATTTTACATAACTACACCAAGCTTCATGCTTAATACTCAAAAGGGTACAATTTAAACTGCAAAAAGATTCAGTCTTTTAAGTGATGAGAACATTACCATATATGCAAGGCTGAGATATATGGTTAATACTTGAAGAAGACATATCAAGAAGAAGGGGTGATAAAATTTTATGTATAGAAGAAGAAGAAGAAGATTTTATCAGATTTTTTTCCAAGATTTTTCAAAGGGTGGGCTAAAAATGAAAAGGACAAAGTGGGAAAGAAAGAGAAGAATGTGGAGAGAAGAGAAATGGAACAATGGCATCATAAATAAAAGCCAAATTTTAATGAGAGAGAATCTTGTGAGGGAGAAAGATTCTTGGCTTGAGAAAAAAGAGGAATCTGCTGAGAAGGATTGTGATGGAAAGGTAACACTACTATACTGGCAGCTGCGATTATGAACGGCTGACAAATTGGGTTGTGTTGTGTTAGTGAAGTTTTCAGAGAATTCTAATACACAAATTCTGAAACATTCTTTGGCTGTATTTTTTTGAAAGGTGGTTGGCTGCTTGCCGGGGAAAGGAAGTTCTTTTGACAAATGGGGCTTCATTTTCTTATAAACTACATCTTAGTCCCTTAATATTTCATAATTCTTGTGCATGGAGAATTGAGTATATATCTCTATAACAGTCTCATTTGTCCCAAATTTTTTTGGTTGTTATAGCAAAATATTGTTATAGAGAATTATTAGTAGTTAGCCAAAAAACAACTTAGTAGCTAAATTGGGCAATTGAGTGGTTAGTTAGTTAAGTTGTTAGTGGGATTGGTTGACAGATGGACATGAGATGTCCAATTAGTTAGTCATTAGACTTAATTATAATAGAGTTATACAGTAGTTCGTTATAATCAATACAACAGTAGCTTCTCTCTCAAACTCAATCTCTGCACCTCCATGGATGAGCTAAGACACGAAGCTCCATACAGTGAGAAAATCAACATGGTATCAGAGCGGTGATTCGATCGCATTCTCGTTGTGAGTTTTTTTTCAGTAATCAATTTCGTAGTTAGCTTGTCTTCAATTTTTTCTTTGCTACGAGATTTCTCTGTTCTGCGACAATGGTGAATGATGGTGAAGTTAGAGAGAAAATTGATTATACACATCTGTTAAGGTGTTAAGTGAAATAGTAATACGGTGAGAGGCACCAGAATCTACAATCCACTCAGTAGTCTTTGGCATCGAAGGTTGGGGCATGCTTCAATCAAGACTATGAAGCACATGTCATTTCTACAGGATAAAGTTTTAGATGTAGCTACTAATAAAAAATTTTCTATTTGCCCACTAGCTAAGCAAAGCAGATTAATGTTTCCTACTAGCCATACTGTTAGTGAAAAGCCTTTAGAACTGATTCACATGGATGTATGGGGTCCTTATAGGACACCTACTCATGATAGAAAGCATTTTTTTCTTTACTATAGTAGATGATCATACCAGATTTACATGGGCCTACTTGTTGCAAATGAAGAGTGATGTTGCTATTGTACTAAGGTTGTTTTTTCCATTAATAAAGACTCAGTTTTCTACTGCTATTAAGGTGGTTAGAACTGATAATGGAACAGAATTTTTTAACAAAGTGTGTACTGATTTGTTCAATTCATATGATATAATTCACCAAAGCAGTTGTGTGTATACCCCTCAGCAAAATGGGTAGCTGAGAGAAAATACAGGCACATTTTAGACATTGCTCGAGCATTAAAGTTTCAAGCTCAAGTTCCAACTAAATACTAGGGAGAATGTATCGAAGGGGCTGTCTACTTGATTAATAGGCTGCCTACTGAAGTTCTACAAGGCAAATCACCTTATGAATTATTGCATGGAAGGCCACCATCTCTTAATCATTTGCAAGTGTTTGGATGCCTTTGTTATGCCACCACTATTGTCACAAATGACAAGTTTGGTGCAAGGGCAAGAGCAGCAGTTCTCTTACGATATTCCACTACTCAAAAGGATTACAAACTCTTAGATCTCAATAGCAATAAATTTTTTTGTGAGCCGTGATGTTGTTTTCAAAGAACACATATTTCCCTTTGCTAAGCCAATTGAAGCTCACTTGTTTGTTTCTGATTCTTGTCCTATCTTTGATGTAGCCCCTGAGAGGGGGAGATCTTTTGACACTCAGGTAGCTCATCAACAGAACAATCAACTAGCTCATGGGCATCAAGGTGTGCACAGTATAGATGCAGATGCAGCAGCAGATGCAGTAGATGATGTGCACAATATAGATGCAGATGCTGCAGCAGATGCAGTACATGCAAATTCACCTGCAGATGTTGATACAGATCCTAATCAAGCTGATATTAATTCTGTTAAACATGAACATCTTGACAATGCTGAGGTTGAAGAACTGGCTGAAATACTTAACAGTGTACCAGCATCTGATAATACTAGAGATGAAGTTCCTGATGTCAACTCAATAGACACTAACGTAAGGAGGTCTGGTAGAACTACTAAAGCACCACTATGGCTTGAAGACTATGTTACAACAGGAAAATATAAGGGCATTGCATATCCATTATCAAACTACATTTCTTATCACAAGTTGTTTGCATAAGGCAGGAAGTTAGTAGCAAACATCTCAGCAATCATAAAACCACAAACATTTCAGGAAGCTTCAAAGGATGAGAGGTGGATAGAAGCTATGAAGTTGGAGATCAAAGCTCTAGAAGACAATAACACATGGGAGATAGTTGATCTTCCCAAAGGCAAGAATGCAATTGGATAAAAATGGGTATACAAGGTAAAATACAAAGTTGATGGTGAAATTAAAAGGTTCAAAGCAAGACTAGTTGCAAAAGGCTACAGCCAAAAAGAGGGATTGGACTATCATGAAATATTCTCACCAATCACTAAAATGGTGATAGTAAGGTTTGTCATTGTATTGGCAGCCTCAAGGAATTGGAACATTTTTCAAATAGATGTGTATAATGCATTTCTACAGGGAGACTTGTTTGATGAAGTTTATATGGAGCTTCCTCTAGGCTTCAGGAGACAGGGGGAGACAAAGGTATGCAAACTAGTAAAATCTTTGTATGGTCTGAAGCAAGCTTCAAGACAGTGAAACATAAAACTATCAGAAGCTTTGGTTGATGCAGGCTATTGTCAAAGCTTACATGATTATTCTATGTTTACTAAGAAAGAAAAGGGTGACATATTGGTGGTGTTAGTATATATAGATGACCTTTTAATCATAGGAAGCAGTGATAGTCTAATTCAACAGACCAAAAGAGTATTGCATCAGAAGTTTAAGGTGAAAGATCTTGGAGAATTGAAGTTTTTTCTAGGGATAGAAGTGTTGAGATCACATAAGGGAATCCTGTTGAACCAAAGGAAATATGCATTGCAACTTATATCAGACTTAGGACTGGGAGGAGCCAAACAAGTCTCAACACCTTTGGACATAAATCGGAAGTTCACCTCAATAGAGCATGACAAACATTTGGGTGTTTCAGGGGATGAGCCATTATAAGATGTGACAGCCTACCTGAGACTAATAGGGAGGTTATTGTACTTAACAATCATAAGGCCAGACATCAATTTTGCAGTACAAATACTGAGTCAATTCATGCAAGCTCCAAAGAAATCACACTGGGATGCAGCATTAAGGATTGTGAAGTATAAAAAACTGGAACCAGGAATGGGCATAATGATGAATAGTGGAGCAGTAGACAGTGTTACTTATTTCTGTGATGCAGATTGGGCAGCATGTCCCAATACTAGGAGGTCAGTCACAGGATTCCTAGTTAAGTTTGAGGACTCCCTGATATCTTGGAAGTCAAAGAAACAACAAACTGTGTCAAGGAGCTCAGATGAAGCAGAATACAGAAGTCTAGCTGCATCAACTTCAGAAGTAGTTTGGCTCTTAGGGGTATTTGCAGAATTAGGAGTGCAGATCAAGCAGCCTATGGACATGTTTTGTGATAGCAAAGAAGCAGTTCAAATTGTAGCAAATCCTATCTTTCATGAACGGACTAAGCACATAGAGATCGATTGTCACTTTATAAGAGACAAGATCAAGGAAGGAAAGCTAAAAACACATTATGTAGGGACTAGAGATCAATAGGCAGACTTGCTGACAAAAAGGCTTAGGAGAGTTCAGCATTTATACTTGTTAGGCAAGTTGGGAGTGCTCAACATTTTATACCCTCCAGCTTGAGGGGAGTATTAAGATTAGTAGTTAGCCAAAAAAATAGCTTAGTAGCTAAATTGGACAGTTGAGTGGTTAGTTAGTTAAGTTGTTAGTGGGGTTGGTTGACAGTTGGATATGAGCTGTCCAATTAGTTAGTCATTAGACTTAATTATAAATAAAGTTGTACAGTAGTTCGTTATAATCAATACAACAGTAGCTTCTCTCTCAAACTCACTCTCTACACCTCCACGGATGAGCTAAGACACGAAGCTCCATACAGTGAGAAAATCAACAAAATATATATTATAACATAGCATAAAAATTGGTTTCATAAAAAACTTGACTTTTATATTGAATAGTTGTTAACAACGATGTTGTTATAAAGATATTTGACTTTTATACACTAAAGGAGTCATTTAGTTGGGGAAAAAGTTAAGTCGGGATTAATATGAATGATAGGATTGTAATACAGGGTTTAATAGTGATGGAATTTTTTAGGATAATACTTTTATAGGTAGATATCTGGTTAGTTGGACTAAAAATAGTATAATATAAAATATATATTTGGTTTTAACCAGATAAATTGAGATAAGCTTTTATTTCATTTTGACCTTGTCTTTCTTTGAAAAATTTGGGAGAAAAGCTTTGCAGAAGGCAAATGTGCTATTTTATTCTTTTATCTCGGGATTAGTAATCTTGAAATTATTATCTCACCCTCAATATAGGGTAATATCACAATATTGTGGTATAACTAATATCGAATTGTTAATCCCGGAACTGAAAATCTAGCAAACGTGAAATAAACTAAGTAAAAATAGCACGGGCTAGCCAGTTTTCGTACTGGTCATTCAAAAATAGCCAGTGTTTGCCAAGTCATTGAAAAATAGCCACTATTTTGCTGCAACAGAGACCGGTCCAGCATAATATACTGGAGTTCGGTGCATCTGTGTATGAAATTCCAGCATATTATACTTGAATTCCAACACGCGAAAAGTTTCAGCATAATATACTGGAGATTCGAGCACCTGTGTATGAATTTCCAGCTTATTATACTAGACCGGTATACTTTGTTGGAACTCCAGTATATTATGTTGGAGTTCTAGTATACTTATGTTGGAACTCCATTATATTATGTTGGAACTCCATTATATTATGCTGGAGTTCCAGTATACTTATGCTGGGAACTCCAGTATAATATGCTGGAGTTCCAGTATATTTATGCTGGAACTCCAGTATAATATACTGGAGTATTTTTCTGATTTTGAATAGTGTTTTCGTTCAAATTTATTTTTACATAA